TTTGACCTTTTACCGCATGTGATTGCAATTTTTTATGTATAATTAAATAAAAAGTAAAAGTAATACTCCCTCCGTCCCTAAATATTTGACACATTTGTATTCCCGAGACAAAATATCAAGTTTTTTCAATTCATTTTATTTACATATTGGTATAGAAATAAAAAATAAAATTTACATATCAAAAAACTACATGAAAAGTTCTTCGAAATAAGAGGTGTCAAGAATATTTTATTTTATCAAATAACCAATGAAAACGTAGAAATAAACAAAAGTTCCCGCGACTGCTGAAAAAGCAAATGTTGTGAATATTTTGGGACGGAGGGAGTATTTAAACTAGGTAATAAAATTTTTTAAAAATACTTTATAAGATAAATGTAATAAAATTATTCTAGGGATTATAACTTTATTTTATAATTGTAAAAATATACTAGCAAAAAATTAATGCTGCTCAAATACTTGAAAAAAAATTGGATTTCCTAATGGAAATAGAAACCAAAAAACTGCGACACCAATTTGCGGATGCTATGGACCCCAACAATTTTGGAAGAGGAAGCATAGAATCCTGACCAGACAAATTCTTAGTATTCCTTATCCGCTGCACAAGAGCCAGGGAACCTATACGCCGCCGCAGCCATGGACACCGGCATTGTGGACATCCCAGGCTCCGACGATCGCTTCACCGTCAACTTCCACCGAAGCTCAATTGAAACCCTAGTCACCTACGAGCCCAGCAAGGTCGTCGACTGGATCAACGACATCGAGCGCCTCCACCGCGACAGTCTCCCCAACAAGCTCATCGTCGGCCTCGACGTGGAGTGGCGGCCGAGTTTCTCGCGCCACCAGAACCCGGTGGCAACCCTCCAGCTCTGCGTCGGCAACCGCTGCCTCATCGTCCAGCTCCTCTACTGCAGCCCCATTCCGGATGAGCTCTCCGCTTTCCTGGCCAACTCCTCCCACACCTTTGTGGGCGTCGGAATTGGGGAGGATCTGGAAAAGCTCATAGAAGACTACGACCTGGCAGTGGCCAACGGCGTGGAGTTGCGGACCCTGGCTGCTGAAAAGGCCAACGACAGATCACTTAAAAACATTGGGCTGAAGGATATGGCTAGGATATATCTGGACGCAGAGGTGGTGAAGCCGAAGAGGGTGACCATGGGAAGATGGGATCAAGAGTGGCTGTCTGAAGAGCAGATTCGTTACGCTTGCATTGATGCTTTCGTCTGTTACGAGGTTGGCAAGATTTTATGTGGAGCAGAGTCATGAGCTGTGTGTGTTGTTTAAAGCATGTGCCGGTTTCGGATTGAGTCTCACTATATGCATTTATTCTCTCTTTTTATTCTCATTGTTTAACACCCATATGCATGATTGGTATTGTGCTGAACGAGAGGTAGTATGATTCCAAAAAAGGAAAACACGAATTGAATTTTACTTTGAGATTTCAATCAAATGATATTATAAAATGTCCAACTCTATGTATAGCGGGCTTTACACATATACCGTATCGGCACAAGGATAAGTGTACTTACATGAACTAATCTGTTAAGCAGTGAAGCAGATGATTCAATTGACAGTAAAACACAGCTACAAGCAATGGTAGTTCTTACCCAACTAAGGTGAAAATTAGGCGGCGGCAGCATCACATTCTTCCCAGGCACCGTGCACCGAGCTGAAGCTCCTCCTGCCACCCCCCATTTGATGAGTCATGAACTCTGAAAAAACTTCGCGTGCACAGCTGTCCCAGGTTTTCGCCATTTCTCTGATAGACATGGGTTCAGACAGTTGGCGGAGAGATGCAGTGAACCTCAGCTTCACCTCCTCATATCCATATTGCACTTCTTCACCACTGTCTCTGTTTGAATCAAAGTCATCATCAGATACTAGAGAAGTGTTGCGGATTGAAGCACTTCCACTTCTATGTTTTGTTGCCTATATCAGCTGCTTTTTTAAATAGCAATATCTGGTACTCCCATTGTTATAAGTATCAGTTGCTTTGCTGCCTATTTGAGATCACTTATAGTAGAAGTGTTTTACCCATAGGTGTTTTCTCATTTAGGCACTTAAAGAGTAATTTTAAGAATGGATCAATCTGTCGTGTTCCGTATTAAGCATTAAAGTCACTTGTGTTTACTCCAAAATCTTGTTTTTTCCATTTTTACCAAATCCTCGTCGATTCCACAAATTTTTGGGATCTCAAACACAATTTAAGTATGCTCTCAAACGATGGCCACTTTAGAATATATCAAGAAAGTATTAATTGATATTCTTTTATCATTACCCTCTATCATTCATAACTGTTAACTACGGAATATAATAATGCTAACAATTAATAGGGATACTCTAGTTGAATTCACTCCTTCAGTATACAAGTAGATATGTAAGGTTGTCAGTCTAATCTAATCAAAGAAAAATATGTGCCTGAGATTGCTTACCTGCAGAGGTCAGGCGACTTATCCAACACTATGGGGGAAACATTAGGATAGTCCTCGGGGACTAGCAGCTGCAGAACAAGCATCTCTGGAAACTGAAAAGTCACAAAGAAGAATCATACAGATTGTACTAGATATGTAACATGCTTGGCATAAAAGCTAGCTGATATACCCTTGTTCTGGATGGCAGGTACGGCTGGATTGTCTTCTCACAATAGCCCATAGGAGAGTATGAACACTTAATGATAATATTTTCTTCAGCTCTATGTTTCGGAACATCTTCACTACTTCCAACAACCATCTCCACTAGAGTTTCAACAAGTTTTCTGTTTGTTTCTTTGATTTCTTCTACTACTGTACTTGTAAGCTGCCCAAAGTTGGAGAGGAGAACACAAATTTTAATCAAATAGAAAACAAATAATGACAATGACACTGATGTGTAATTGCAGTGATCAAAGAAAACAATTATGGCAAGTAGTGAAATAAATTTGATTTATAGAAATAATTGAACTCATAGTTGTATTGATGGTGACATGCAATTACCTACGCCTTACCTGAGTGTTTGGGAATTTGGTGACAGCAGTTGCCATAGATAGAGTATGCGGGGAGGTGTAATTAGACCAATCCACACAATCACTTTCTTCAAGTGATGTAGGAGAAACATTTGGAACGATGGCATTTATATTGCGCTTCATCTTACCATTTCCGATAGTTTCATGTCGGCATAGCTTGGCTTTCTGGATAAAACTTCTAACATCAGCCATCAGATCATCTCTTATTGGGTCTCTGAAGTCTCCATAGCACAATGCTCCGGGTCTCATGTCAACCATATTGACAATATTCCCAATGTCCCGTGCTGCTGCAGATAATGATTTTTCTGATATTGATCCTATCTGCAAAGAGATTCAGCATGAAACAGAAGGATAAAACACAATGTAACAAAAACGTATAATTAACTTTGTACATGATTCCTGCAGAGGGTTTTACCACTGTATAAGGACGTGTGATGTCATTATCCAAATGAACCTTTTTTTGTGGGGGAATTGGGGGGCATATTAAACGAACAAATTCATGTACACAACACTTTTGGCATGTCAAGGAGGAGAAGCAATACAAACCGCATCTAACAATCGTTTAAACGGTCTTGTACTTTGTTGATTGCCTTCTGAGTGTCTAGTCTTCATGACCAAGGGTGCTTCAAGCATTCCAGATGAACTGATTAACTGGGAATCCAATTTCGCTGGTTGTGATTGTATCGTGGGGGCTTTTGAGCCTTCAGCCGATGATGATAGACCTAAACTTGAAGAAACCTTCTGGGGACTCTCAGGCACAGATGTTGGGGTTAAGGGGGTCAATGGTGAGGGAGTAATGGTTGGGGATATAGTAGAGAGTGGAATAGGGTGCTGAGAAATTTGAGGAGACATGGGCGGAAGTTGACTTGAAGTTGATGGTGGTGTTTGACATAAATTTTTGGAGGGTTTACTGATTACGTGATTTGGCTGAACTGTTCGGACATTAGACCCCACTGCATGCTTCACCTTGGGATCATTAAAATCATTCGATTTTTCTGTCAGTTTCTTGTGCTCAGTTACCTTCTGTCCCTCAAACTGCATTATTTTTGTCAATGGAAAACCAAAAGCACTTGCACTATTTCCATGCATTGAAGTTGTCTGCCACATTGGTTGCTTCGTTTTTTGTGACAGTGTCACTGCAGACGCAAAGGTACTTGTATTTGCAGCCAAGGGAGTTGCATGATCACGAATAGTGAGCGTGCTATTGTCCAACAGTGTCACCGGCCCTGGCAATCTAGAATTAGAACGCATTTGTTTCGGATCACTTTGGGAAAATGATTGCGATGCCTCAGACATGTTTGCATTTTGCAGAAAATTAATCAAATTTGGGTGCAAAGGCCACTTTAATCCATCTGGTGTTGCACTCCTTGATGAAGCTTCCGCATTTTCATGGCCTCTATTAGAAACATCACCAGATGGATTGAGAAAGAATGATTTTGGGAGGGAAAGCTCTTGATTCGATGAAGACTGAGGAGCACTGCTAGATGGTCCTGATATGGAGTGATTGAACTGGAACTTTGCATTTCCTGTTTGACGCATTAATAATGGTGGATTGGGTACCTGAAGTTGCTGAAGATGCTTCTGCAATTCTGTAGTATTCTGCAATCTAACTTGATCAAGGTAATTTGTTACAATGTTCATATAATGGCAAACTTTCTCTTTGGGTATTTGAAGGAACTCATTTTTAGACATGTGAAAGAACTTGATTATTTTCTCCAAAAATACTCTGCCCTTTTCATAGTTCACAGAGAGCTCAGGATTTGAAGGCTGCATGAAATTAATACAAAACTTAATGAGTTAGTGCTAAGTAATTTTGGTCAGAAAAATACTGAGAACATGATAACATGAAAACTTAGATACTACCTTTACGCACAGCTCTTGTGCTTTCTTGTACATTTTAATAACGTCAACAGAGTATATCTCCCTCATTACTTGAAGCTGATAAAAATAATAAATATAAGAACATGGTAGAGATGATAGAATCTGAAAAGAGTTAAGGTTTAATGTACTTAAAACTAGCACCCATGGGAAACCACTTCAAACAATAGAACTTTAATATGAAAAAAGCCAAGAACGGAGGGGCATAGAAACTGACTGTTCGTTTTAATTTTCATCACCTACAGAGCCATGAGAAGAAACAACATGATTCAAAAATTAATATAGAATGTTGATAAGCATATATTCAAATCCCTAAAATACAATTTCCCAAATTATATTCATGAAAATGGTAGGTTAATTGGCCATACTGAAGGATATAACATAATAGATATGAAGGTGGGGGTTGGATCAAGGATAAAAGAGATCAATCCATGTTAATTGACCAAAATCAAGGGCCCCAGTGCCAAATCCAAGGATAATTGACCAAATTAAGAGTAATAAAGAATTATTAGTAGATAGAAGCACCTGTTGGTAGGCATTGTCACTCCATTCACTAGAATTTGGTTGTTCAGTTTGAGACATAGAGCTTGAAAACCCTGATGACACACTAATGTCGTCAGGGGCGTGTGACTTATGAATTGACTTATGAAATCAAAGACTGAAGACTAGTACCTGATGATTTGCCTTGTAAATGCCCCATAGGCTTCTGAGAACTAAGGATAGAAGATGTGTTCATCGTTTGGCTTGAACTTTGTGGTGATGGATCAGTTAGATTCTGAGAACTCGCTAAATGAAGAAAGCCCGGAATTGTTGTTGTAGGGCGTGAGTGATGAGGGACATCTAGCCCGTAAACTGCTGGGAGATATTTCTGCTGATTTGCTGCAAAATTTTGTCGAGCGGATTGCAGGCCATATTGAAGGGTTGACATATTATTATTACTATTACCTAGCCAATCCATTCTCCACTGGTCTTGTAATGTCATTGGCTGGCTAAATTGAACTCTGTTTGCTTGCATTGACCACTGCTCCATCTGACTGCTACTGTGTTGAACCGTCGGTTGCATGACAAAAGACTGATTGTTGCACTGTTGAGAAACCTGCATCAGGAGTTGCGACAGTTGGTTTGGATGAAGGGTATGCGGTTGTGAAACCTGACTCACATATGAGGGTAAACAAGTCTTCAAATCCATGCTGCTTTCAAGTATACTATAGGGATCGCGTGAGGGTGAAGGTTGAATGAAGGCACAATTAAGAACTGGAGCTTCACTTGTTTTAGCCTGCTGTGAATCTGCAGTAAGGTATGACAGATGCATAGTGTGTGTGACACAACTTGTTATAACGAATCACATATAATGGAAGAAACCACAAAATGTACACATATTGCGCTAGGATTAACACAAAGAAACATATTGTTACGTGGCTTACAGTTCATGGGCTTCGAGTTCCAGAGTAAACCAGAACTAAATTCAGCCTGAGAACAAAAATGGAAAAAAAAATCAGTTCTAACTCCTTAATAAAGTATTTATTGCATGATAGTAGGTTTGGGTGTGTACCTTGGCTTCACCACAGTTAGAAGACTTGTTGTCGTCCACTGAGCACCCAGCCACACTCGGTGGTCTCGCGGCATCAAGTATGGCAGAGTTTGTCCTTCCCTCGATTCTGCGCAATTGAAGTGTCTCAGAAATTCCGTTTATGTTAAAATACTGTACATTTTCATGTAGGATTATATATTCAGCTAAATGCGGTTAAGAGAATCAATAACAGCAGTTCAATAAGAAACAGTGTTAACTATTCATTCTTTAAACCATTTACACATCATTAATCAATCTTCCATTTCTGGCAACCACATTGAATACAAGTCACAAAACACAGACAAATACTATAATGTGAACCGGCATTGAAAGAAGCCAAGCTGCCATGAAGAAGACAAGCTTTGCATCAGTTCAACAATAGTACAGAACACTCTGTAGATCGAATACAAGGAGAACGAGGAAATCACCTTGTGTGCTCATCAACTTGATCGGCATTGGTGGAGAACTCTCTTATCCAATCATCAATGTCCACATCTTGACTC